TGTTCCATATAGAAAACACATGCAAGAGAGTGACTGTGGGAACTCGTGCATATTTGTGCTGTAAAACCAAAGGAGGGTTAATGTATCACGATTCCGAGGAAAAGTGCTTATACACGACCTCTTACATTATTTGCGTGTACATGTTCATGAATTCATCTCATGTATGTTCTTCAAACACACATAATTCAAAACGTAAGCAATGGCATCAGAGCTTCTCTGCAGGAGCGAGTCCTCAGGTTCATGTAGTTGAATGTATGGTAGCCCTATGGCTGTCGTATAATGGTAAATGGATTCAATACATGTATAGCATATATGGGTAATTCCAGAAATTAGGGGTCCAAAAGTGTGACATTTTTGTGACCCTGTTAAAGGGGACCTTTGTTATTTGACATGGAAATATCACCAGAATTGATTTCAAACTATTACGATTTGTTTGGCACGTAATTTGCATTAATTCATCCTCTTAGAAATTAGAAAATGTGTTCTGAACTTACAAAATCATAAGTCAGATGTGACAGGGACACAGAAAAAAAAATGGATCCCTAATTTCTGGAATTACCCATGTACACGTACCGGTACTGTACATAAAGCACTGGTGTATACATACATGTACCTTTCAAACTAGGTTTCAGCTGGAAGTTGTGCTCCAGTCTTGAGTGCAAATTCACAAACTCCCTGTGTCTCCGTTTCGTTATCTTATGAACAGGCCCCAAATCACATCTTTGAATATTCTCAGTGGAACTTGAAGGTGTAATGGTTGGCACAACATCAAACTGTTTTAAAAACACAACAGCTGGAATAAAGCTACATGTACATGTATGTCAAGTACTGTATGCTCTCAACAAATGCACATACATGTAAAAGGTTGGGTCAACATAAATTGAAATACAACATCCCATATGAAACACACAAGTAATATTAAAACCAAAATGGGGCTGAATCAGGTATGAATCAATACCTGATTGTTTGAACATTCAACCTAAAAGCTGATTATTTGGTTGTACAGCAAATTCAAAGTAAGCCAAGCCTCTACATGTACTTGACACACTCTAATCATTACAATAATTTTGGACAAGTTGGTACATGTAACTGGAAGCAGTTCTATTTTTTAAAGGTTTGCAAGCTTCACGAAGGCCATCTGGTTATAAAGAAACCAAGTTTTCCCATTTTTTAATTTCCTTGAGTGGTATCAACAAGTATTTGAATCAGAAATGAAATTCAAATGCATGTATAATCAATGATTCTAATATTCGCATATTCAGAACAGGCCTACAAGAAAAAGCAAACACTACAAAAACTAAGGTCACTTCTGCTGTGATGATGTGGGTTCTTTGTACAACAGTACTTAGTTATGTACAGTACATGTGCACATATACACATGCTCAGTTTCACATATAATGCTACACAAAAGAAAGTTAACATTCACCTGTATTGAATATAGAAAGAATTCCCCCTTTCCTCCGAACTCCTTGCACACCTCTGCCTCAGGGATTGTGAGGTTGGTAATCTTCAGTGACGGCGTGCCCTCCAGAAATCGGCTTGCTGATGCTGAAAACATCTCTGGTGCACTGACTGAGATGCATGTACCTGTTGTCTTTGGATCTTCAGCAGCCGGTGTTACCAGTGCCTGCATATCACTGTTAATGCTGATGGTGGAGGAGGTAGGGTGAGATATCTTCTGGTTGATTGCGGATGACCCTGGCGTTTGGATGGAAATGGGCAACGAAACAGGTGCACTTTGTGACCCTGTGGAAACCTGAGGGCTACCTGAGCTTGCAATTTCACACTGAGGTTTAGGATGCTTTTTCTTTGAGAAGGACACACGTTTCAGCAGCTTTTTTATTGGTGATGAACCTGCAGCATTCACGCCCAGGGAAATGAGCTGAGGACGTGAGGTCTCCTTGTCTTGTGGTTGACTGAAGTCTGGAATTTCGGCATAAGTGGCTGACACTGATGTTTGGGTGCAGGTGCTTTCTAAACCAACACCGTCACTGAATGGCACAGCTTTGCTGGGGCCAGAACGTCTCTCTTGAGTCTCCCTGTTTTGAGTAAATTCTCCATTGATATCATTTGCTGAGTTTGACTGCTTTATTTGCAGATCAGTGAGAAATCCAGAGTTGATTACACTGGTTGCTGTGCTGACATCCCTTGGACTGTCCTCAAAAGCAAACTGGTTATCAATGTCGCTGAACTGTACATTCATTTGACTAGTGTCGTAATCGACGCTAGAAAAGCTGTCAGCTGACAAACTCCTGGGTCTGCTGTCGACACCGTCAGTTTTGGACAAAGGCGTTACTGCTAATTGACTTGCTGGGATCGCTGGTTCAAGGGCAGTCAATGGAACTACAATTGGGGTGGAGGTTTTCTCTGCACCTTCTGCTAGAGGTCTTGGTATGCACTGATTAACTGAAGATACAACTGTGCAGCTAACGTCTCTAGGAAGACTAAATGAAAAGGACTGTTTCACAGGGGCAGGCTCTCCTATAAAAACTGTGGCCTGTGCAGGATTAAAAGATGAGTCTGAGGCACTCCGATGATGCCTCGGTGCCACAGCTTGTGAATGGGTCAGAACATCCTCTGAACTCTGACTGCCCTGACTCATAGCAGATGAGGTATGGGCAATTGAAGCATCAATAGATTGGGAAATGGAAACTTGGGCAGTGGCCGCTTCATTTGATGCAGGGAGCAGAACTGGTTCCTTAGAGTTCAGTGGGGATGGGATCTTATTACATGTAGATGGAAGATCTGAAACAAGACTATTTCTCGGTTCAAAAATGTTGTACATGTATGTACATGTAGTTGCTGAAGGCGAATCACAGTTGTCAGCTCCCTCTGATAATGCACTGTCCCTAACACCATCAAATGGAGGACGGGAAACAGGAGCAATACTGACATTTTCTGGGGGGCATGCACTTCTTTGGCTGGTCATTATCTTTGGCTTGGAGTTATCAGTACTAACATGCATGGATTCTGATGTTCCTGTCTTATCTGGTGCATTCACTACACCAGAAACTATGAGCATGATGATTCTATAAAGAAAATCAGGATCAGCCAGTAAATCAAGCAGGGGTATCAGAAGATTGCACGTTAGGATTTCTACTAGGACAGCTGAACTAGCATGGCACTGAGTGACCCTCTTTGGCAAAGCAGAGTGGAGAAGAACTCTCATAACACCTTTCAGATAGTTCATTTCTGTCGATGTATCTTCAATGGCAGGATGCATCAACAAAAATGTTTCATAGGATGCAACTAGACTTTTGCTGTCAATCGTTCGCCCAAAGAGCAACTTTCTCAAACTCGACCGGGCCCGCTGAAATTGGAAAATGTGGGTTCGAAACTCTACCAGGAAATTTAGGAGGAGATTCCTTTTGTTTATAGATTGAAGACGGAAACAAAGATTTTCTGATGCACTGAGCAAGATTTGCAGAAGTTCTTCAGAGACTTGACTATGGTCACTCACATAAACGGTATACCATGACAAAACAAAATCATGCATTATACTTTTGATGAGATGCTGGAATTCTTCATCAACTGTATCTGGTAATGTGACCGAGAGTGAACCTTCTGCCTCAACATTTAGGTCTAGTGTCATTTTCATATTTTGGACAGAGTATCTATATAAGTTTGCCTCAAAGTTTGGCAAGACTGACAGACCAGCCTGCCTCCTCTTCTCCTTACAATGGTCGACAAAATTGGGCACAAAGGGCAAGAAAAGACGCGAACTGAACACCTGCACGTGACCCGCCACACGAGTCGCAGCCCATCCCCCTAAATACACTGCTACTGCGAAAACGAACAATACGCTCGTGCGGGAGAGAACGGCCAAAGTGATCGACACAATCACGGCCCCAACTACCGCCTTGTCCAACGTTGGGAGCCTCTGAAAGTATTCGCCAACTTTCCCTGCTACTACCATAACCTCCTCGAACTTCATGCTTGATTTCCATGTGTTTGATTCGGAAAGACTATTGACAACTGCTCAACTTTCCACTCCACGCCACATCAGGTGACTATGTTTGTGTACACAAACATCACAGCCCAACTTCATCGGATAGTATTCGTAATGATTGTGCAGAATTAGAACACGATTTAACAGCGGGAGTGCTGTAGTGCAGTGTAGCATGCATGCACCATGCATGTCCATCGCCGGCCAGCTGATTATTCAACCTCGTTGATTTCTATAATTAAAAAAATATGTGGTATCAGGGCCATAGCCCTGTATAAGAGACAAATTACAGATGCTCATAAAACGATTGACGGGATTGGACGGTATAAATCGAAATCGCCTGTACGCTGCTTTTCCGCCAATCAAGATTGCTAGCATGTAAAGCACCAAGAAAAAAGTTTGGCGCTATATCAAAATTGCATAGGAGCGGATCGAGGGAAGGCCCGAGCTAGTTTAAATCCACCTAAAAGAAATTTCGTGGGCTGGACTATGATTATTGTGTGCAGCTACTTTTCACAGTGTTCCCTATGAGTTTTCATAAGATGGAGGCGCACCAATAAAAGCTTTTATTGGTTTTCTCAAGGCCGGATGGGCTGCTCACCGTACCACTGCACTGCATGCTCATGTCAGTACATGTACATGCAGTACTCAACCGATCATGTCCATTCATTTATGATTTTGTACGTGTAGTACTTAGAATACTACTACTGGGAATTGTTCTGTCTATTTTTAAGGTAGTAGGCCAGCAAAAGCTAAAAATACAACATCGTTGTTATAACATGGTGAATATTTCATTGTAAAAAATACACATGAAATACATGTAGCCTACAATTTTACAACATGTAGGTAGGCCGCCTAGGCTCCGGCTACTGACTGGTTTTCATGGAAAAGGTGTAGGCCTAGACCTGATAAACACGATGTACATTTACTGTCACCATGCACACTGTGTACATATGATGTAAGGACATGATTTAGGTTTTTCCTGTCAAAAGTGCTGCCATTTTCAAGGATACAGACATTTCCTGACTGCTATAGTATAACCTACATCATGCACTCGGTTCTTAATTAATGTGTGTACAGTGTTTATGGTGTTGGTCAGTGATGCAGAGTCAAGATGATGCTTTGGTCAGATGATTAAAAAAGTTGATGTATAGTTGATACGACACTGGACAAATGTGTCTACATGCACTTGTATACCAGTGGCAGTATACAGTGTGCATGTGTGTAAGATTGAAGAAGACCATACATGTACCTACCTGGGCAAGACTTGTGAAAGCTAGCTGGTAACTATGTGAGCTTGCTCGCATGATGAGCTTGCCACCAAGTTTGCAGACTGTCTTGCAAACTTGCTGCAAGTGTGCATATGTCATCAGGATACCAGAACCTTGCTAACTTAATTGCTCCTAGCTTGTTACAACCACTATATAAGCCTACAGGCAGTATGCAAGCTTCCATCACACAGTCCCAAACCTTCAGACTAGATCAGAATGTGCCTGCACCAACTAAAGCATTGTGTTTGTTCCCATTGGTTGTTTTCATCTTTTGACCAATGGAAACAGACTTGTTTTGTACATAGTTACCACAAATTGTTCCAACTCTGGTAGTTTTTCTCTCCAGTATCTAGAGTCCAGATGAAATGTGTGGCCTGAAGACTCCAGATTATTCTCACCTTGGGCCAACAGACTTTCAGGATGTTTACGAACCTGCGGAAGACACATTCCTCCTCCTTGATGCCTTGGAGAAAGATGCCAAACTCATCCGGAGTATAAGGCAAGATTCCCAGCTCTACTGTGCTTTCATAAGGCAGTCAGTTCAATCGCTACCATACTCAGGGCACAAGCAGTACTAATGTTGCAGTTGTGTCCCTGTCCGAGCACAATTTCAAAATGTGTGGTGATTTACATAGTAGAAAAAAAGTTGGAAAGTGAAGCAGTAGTACTTTAAGACTGTATTCATGTATTGGCCATCTTGAATTGAAAGTGATATTACATGTAACTTGTCATTGTGGGAACCTCCGGGTGAAAAAAGCAACAACAAACTGGTTTGCCACCAATTTATTCCAGTTTATGTTCAGAATAATTTAAAATCTCCAATGAATTAGATCTAAATGTTTGAAGCCACATTCAAAACAATGGAAAGTGGAGCTTGGATCCAAATATAGCCTTGCATGAGCCCAATTAACAGATTACATTGAATATGGTAGATTCAGGGTAATTGGAAAATTGATTCTTCAGAAGGAGATGTAATGGTACTGTTTGTATCAAAAAGCTGCATGTATACATGTTGAACTATTTTCAAAAAGACAGCCTTCAAGTTGAGTCCAAAGCCAAGTCTTGTTTCATCTACATGTACGTATTCATATATTCTTGTATACCAATGCCATTTGTATTCCATCTTATTTAACAACTCAGCCAACACTGGCTTGGTTCTTTGGCCTGATTTCTACTTCTCATCTTGTGTCACACTTTAAATGGGGACTTGGGAAAAGGACTGAACTACCAAACTGTACTCACAAGTTCATCACAAGTTACAGGGAATGGACAATGAATGAGGAAAGAGGAATATTTGTAGTTCTGTCTTCATTAACCCTAACCTTCCCTAACCACACAGAATTCAACACCAGTAAAGTGTGTGAGTTTGTGGCATTGGGCGCTGGTAGCTTACTATCTGGTGTTTAATTTTGTGTGAATGGGTACTGTGGGCCTGCACATACCCTCTTGAATTTTGACTGACTGGGTACGTGTACTGCACTCTCACTTTATCCCAGCAGTTGTTGATGGATATGCAGCGTGATGGTGTGTGAGTTTGTTTGAATAGGTACAGGTGTACTGCCTGTCCATACTCTTTGTACTGTGCAATGGGCCTGGTGTAGCCAATCAAACAGAACCACACAGGTAAAGCCCTGTTAAAGTTTGTGGTTTTGAGAACTCTTGCAACAGGAGTACTGTTGAAGTCTGTGGGATGGGGTACTGTGAGGTAAGAGTGTTTTTCCAAGGTGTTGGAAGTATGTGTGATTGGGGAAGGTTAGGTCCCGCAAGTTACCCTTGGGCGGTTGGGGTAAATAAGCTTTTGACCTTTATAGAGACTTCACAAATTATAATTTTCTTCTGAACTAGGCTTGGATGGTATTTTGGTATTATAAAATAATGGCATTTTTTTATCAGTACTGAACAATACCAACTTCTGATGTATAAATACTGAAATACCAGCAAACACATTGTAACAGTATAGAATTTCAATACAGTGGTATTCTTGCTGATACTGTAGGCCTGGAATGTTTGCAGAAGCCTTTTAAAACAATCGAAAACCACCATATCACATTTCATTCCATTCTGTTGGTACAAGTCATCTAGTGTCATGTCTGTATTGTCACTTACAGCAGAGAGACAAGGTGTAATTGTCCAGCTGACATGGTATTTGAAAATAAATGGATTGATAAAGGATAATACTTCTTGAGTTTAGGGGGTTTTGCCACATCGACAATAACCATCGCGCTGGTGTCTACCTGTTGGATTTCCCAGGGAATATTGACTCTTATTGCCGTTGCTCTTTGATGACGTACATCTACTCTTAATACTACACTTCAAAGAATATTGCGGTATCAGTGAATATCGCGGTATTTTTATCACGTTATTAAAAAATGCGATACCATCCAAGCCTGTAATGAACTTGATTTCAACACTGACCAACACAGAGAAGTTGGTCATGTTTACTTCATTTGCAGTCTGGCAACTGTATAGACAAATCTGAAGAGACGTCAGTGTAGAGAATGGACAATAACTGAGGAGGGTTGGCAAATTACAGCACACTGACCTTCCTGCCTTTAATCCTTTATAATTTTAGTTGGGTTTGCTTAATTAGCAAGGCACTGAAAATAATTTTTGCCTTTTTTCCTTTCATCAGGCCTTGTGTCTGTGTGGAAGTTGGTTCAGGCTCAGGAGTTGTTATAACATTTCTTGCTCAGTTGTTGAACAACTTCAGCATGTGCTTGTAAGTATTTCCCAAGTATTATACCGCCTTATCACACAGGTACTGTGTGTCTGATACTATAGACCAAGTACATTTACTTGTTACTAATGTTAATGAGATATTCTTTCATTGCATGTATAGAATTTTGCCAACTTTCGCATGATTTTCAAACACAGATTTCATTTGTATATTTTGTTGAAGTTGCTTGTCTCATTTCCAGGCTTTTGTAATTTTTATTCTGATCCATGAATATTCACTTAATCATTCTTGATTTAATTTCATTACTTTCTAGGGGTGTAGATAGAAACCCTAAAGCAGCTACAAGCACAAAGCGCACAGCCGAACAGAACGGTGTCAAAGTGGAAGTCTTGAACTCTGACCTCTTGAGTGCCCTCCAACCCCGTTTACATGGGAAGGTTGATGTGCTGGTTTTTAACCCTCCATATGTTGTAACATCTTCAGAAGAGGTAATGTTATTGATGTTTTTGCTTGTCCAGCTCACTACATTTTTAGCTTTGCAGGTATCTGATCCCAGTAATTGCCGTAAGCTTTGGCAGAGCTGTAGCCATTTCCTGAGTGTTTAAGTGGGAATCAAGCCTTCAGGTGAAAACCAAGGCTTTGTTGCCGATTATTGTAATGAAAAGGTAAATTAGTATTTGAACACACAACTTGAAACGAACACACAGACGTGAAATGTAGTGCAAAAGGATTTGTAAACAAAGGTACATTTTGTGCACCTTTTTTCCAGTATTTGTTTGTATTTTGGGGACTCGAAAAAAAAAAAAAAACAATGCCATGAGCTCAGCTATTCGGGTAATTAGTTGAAAAGTGGGAACCAGGGAGAAGGTTAGTTCTTGAATGAGGTGAACCTGATTAGGTCCACAGTGATACTAATTTTGGAGCATGTAGTTAGACTTACATAAGTGCACTCACAATCTTGAAAAATAAGAAATGTGGTGGCATGACTTAAAGAGAGAACGGTAACAATAGAGATTTGCACTGTGAAAATCTCCTGTGTCATACGCTGGTTTTCTAAGGTCTATAAGACGTGTTGTCTCTTGTGGTAGTCTTGTGGTGATTCTTGTGTACAAGATACATGTATGCTACTTTCACTACCAAGTAGGAACTGCAAATCACCCTTTTGACGGGTTCGCCTGTCCTTTACACCAATTCGTTTGGACATTTTGGTGTGAAATTTTCCTTCGAAAGCCATCACTTAAAGGGGAGCGAGTGGCATTTTACTTTCCTGCGAGCAGTAAAACCCACTTAAAATATTTAGCAACCCATGCCATTCTCATTTCTGCACAGTCTTCCAAAAAAATCCAAATAGGATATTGGAGGATTTTTTCAGTCTTGAAGGTCATTGCAGTGTTGTATTTGATTATGTGAATGATAGGTTGAAAGCTCAAGCATCGCTTCATCATGGGCAGGAGGCAAGGATGGAAGGGAAGTGCTAGACAGGCTTCTACCTCATGTTGCCAAGCTGCTGTCTGCAGAGGGTGTATTCTATTTACTTTTGATTAAGGAAAACAATCCTGGTAAGTAGTTTGAGTTGCCTTGACAAGACTTGCTGGCCCTACTCCATGAAGACTTGTTAACTGTGCAAACTCAACTCAAGGGCAGATGGAGAAAAAAAAACAACCAGGGGAGCACACACGGCTATTGCCCCACTGCCCCTTTGTATTCCTGTTAGCGAGCCCTCCCATTCGTCACTACAGTATTTGGACCACAGCAGGATGAGGTGGGAGTGATGACACGCAGGAAGAACAAGGTTAAGCTTATTTCAAGGGAGCTGGTGTAATAGGGTGGGATCGCAGAAATGGAATGCCTATTGACATGAAATTGGATAACTGAGATAGGATACAAGTCTACTCAGGTAATTAAAAATACCATGTTTTGTTATTTTAATCAGGTTCATAGTAATGATTGAAAGTTCACAGAAATTATGCATGCCAGTATTTCAATATTTGTAAAATCTCAAGTGGAGAGCACCCTATCAACTTGAAATGAAACACAGGAGTAATCATGTTATTAAGATATCTACATTGTTCATATCCCATGATTATTGCAACCGGAAAATGCTTTGTGTGGTTTTCACAAATTTGGTATCAAGAGTTGTTCGAGGCTTCAAAGAAAAAATCATGACATTTGATGTTTGCAGTGGTTTGGGAGTAGTGGCAAAATTTCCACCAGGGGTGCACTCTTAGCAAGGGTTAGAGGAGAGTGCTATTCTTTCATTTTATCTATGTTTCTAGCAGACCAGCACGGCTCTACATACATGCATCTACATGTACCTGTACCTTTAGGATGCATGATTCCATCAATGAAAAGTTGGATTGCTCTGGGATTAAGCATCGACTGTTGTTGCATACAGTGCAACCCATTTATTTTAAAATGTGATGCAACTCATTCATTGATACATTTTTTGCAGATGAAGTTGAACAGATCTTGGCCGCACAGAAACTTTCTTGTGAGGTTGTATTAGAAAGACGAGCAGGACCTGAACATTTGTCAGTGCTTAGATTTCTTCATGACTCGAAGAGGTGATGGTAATACACCTGGCAAGCTGTCTTGGAAAGCTACTTCATGGAAAGAATCCTAAAACAGAACAGTGCAATTATAGAAGGCCAGACTGGGCCAGACAGGTGTAGGACTGAAAATGAATCATGCC